AAAAGGCTAGAAAACATTAAAAATCAATTAGGTATATGCAACTTAGAAACAAAGGAAAAACTTCTAATGTAGTGAGCCATATAAGTATATTTACCTTTAAATATGCTGTACCTCCAATGCAAATCTGGTCAAATGGTTGCTTTTCATGGCTCTTGGCTCCAAAACTTACAGTTCCAGAAAGACTAATTTCCATTGATTTGGGGAACTTTTGTCCTAAAAACACAAATATACCAATCAACTATTCTAAATTAAATAGATTCTACAGCAAATGAATGAAAAGAAATCAATAAATAATACCTAGCTTACCAATAATCCAGATCAATAAGCTTTTTTCTCGAAATACTTCAAGCTGGCCAAAACTAACTTTGTATTCCACATGTGTGATTGGTCCTCTTTAAAAAAAGAAAAGGACACAATGGAAAGAAAAAATGATCACAGATATTAACAGTTTTCAGAGATCTAAGTCGACTCTCGCTACTGGTATTTAATACAACGACAATATAGAAGCAGATCTGTATTCAAGTTTACAGAACAGAGGAGAACAAATAATGAATATTTTATCTCAAAATACACAAAAACACAATAAACATTTTTGGTGATGACATACATTTCATTATTAATTCTAAAGGTAACTACAAAATCATATAGAATGTGTTAACATAGGCACATGGGTTGATACAATATTAAAACTATGATTTTACTATATATTTAGGTGTCTTTTGAAAAGAAGAATGCTGTAGAACAAACTTAGTACAACTGATGAGGAAGTAATCTTATGATATAATTGGCTTAATTCACCATGTAGTTGATAAGTGAGGCTTGATGTGTATGTACAGAGGAACTGCTAGAAATAAAGCCATTAGTAAAATAATCCGTGATGAAGCTACACTGGCTGAAGTTTATAATTCATTAGGAAGCTTAACCGGAAAAACAAAGACACATTTACAAATAAAGAGATTATTTTTATGATTATGTTTTGGTTCAGAATCAGAATACATTTGAATAACAAAATTTTTAGATCTTAAAAATAAGGTAAAAGCTAAGACTATTATAGGGCAGTGGGAACATATAAAGGAAGGCAGAAATCATGGCATCATGTTATTTTATTCCTACCTATTGTAAAAAGGTATATGAGCTTCACAGAATTCAAAATTGTTTTTCACACTTTCATGAAGTTTTAAATTAACTGTTATTTTTAGTTGTATTTCTTCCTCTTTCACTTGATAAAAACCCAAAATTGGTGGGACAGGGACCTGGAAACAAACATAAACATGTTTTTATATAATTCTCAGGCTAATGTGTCTAAAATATCAATGGTGATTGAGAAACAAGCCTTGCAGTAATATAGTCATTATATGCAGATACACATCTAATGACTAATGGGTTAGTCCAAGCTGTTTTGATGATAGATGACGGAGCTACATTCCTTCGAAGGACAGGGATTCTTCCATCTCTCTCTACTTCCAGAGGTAAGAAAGGTGTCTTAAAAAGGTGTGCAATACATTCTTTTCCCTACTATTGCTTGTCTAGATTCCCCTCCCCTAGCTTCTCTATGACCTGCAACATAGAATGTGAACTAGACATACTGATCAATGACCCTTGCCCATGGTTCCTGCCGCCCTGTTTGTTATCTATGACTCCCCCTCCAATACCCTACCCCTGCCAGATCAGCAGTAGCTTTAGTGGTCATTAGCAACTGATTGAGGGGAAACAATCTGAATCTTCTGGAAATAATTCATGAAAAGTTCTTGTCTGGACCAAAAGTATGGATGATTGGCTTACAACAGAATTCATAACTATGAAGATCAGCAAAGTCTCAACTTCTCCAAGGTTGTTTACCTGGGAAGTGTAGTAGCATAAGTTGAATGACTCTAGAGGTGGAGTGAGTGGAAATTTGTAAGGTCCACTAAATGCAGAATCATCCATTGCATCAATGCTACTAGAAGTCAGAATGGCAGAGTCAAGAGACGTCACACAAGGATGAACCAGGATATCCTGAAGCGGTGATCCATTGGTGGGGAGGCTCAAGCTGATGGTAACATTTGGCATGCTTCCTTCTAAATCACACTGCAATACAAACAAACAGATATTACCAAGATCTTCGATGCATACATCTTCCAAGTGAGGATTTTCTTAATTTATCTGAGTCAGTTTTCAAAACTTAACTTACTTTTCTCTTAAGGTAGTGTTCTCCTTGCTTTCTTTGTCCTGGTTAATGGTTCTATCATGCTGTCAGACACCCAAGCCAGAGACCAGAAAAGGCTTCCTAGAGCCCTCTGATTACATTTAAAACCCTTAAAAAGCTACTTCTCTCCATTCCTGTTACAAACACATTGATTTGAGCCCTTACAATTCTGTCATAGCCTTCTAAGTACATTTAGACTTGCTTTCCTCTAATCAATTCATCCTCCATCAATGCCAGAGCTATCTTAATAAAACATAATTCTAATTATATTGTATCCATGTCAAAACCTCTCAATAGTTCCCCCTCAGTTTTGTATTACTTTTAAAGCCTTTTGCTGTTTGGCTCCCATTTACTTCTTTGATCATCTTCTACCCTGCAAGTTATGCTGTAGACATATTGGATTCTTGCAGTTCCCTGAATAAATCATGTCCTACGCCTCTATGCTTTTATACATATCACACACAATCTGCATTATGCATTAACGACCCACTTTCTACAGGTATTTGTCTGTGCCTGTTTGTTTCCTTCTTGAAGCTTTAAGTGTTTTGAAAGAACTGTTTTATTTTTCTTTGTATTTCTAAAGCCTGATATAAGGGACACTAAAAGAATGTTTGCTAAATGGATATCTTTTTCTAATTATAAACCATACCTTTTGGTTGCAATGTTCCACTTTTTTATATACCACTTGATATATGTGTGAATTCATAGATATATCAGTTAAATAATGCAAGCATTTAGAGAGCATGCAGGCATTATGAACAGTACCATATATAACTAGTGACTTATAAAGGTCCTTCAGTGACAGAATAATGTCAATCCCATTTGAAAATAAAAATAACAAATAACTACCACAAAACTTAAGAATACTTTTGGTGTTTTCAACTTTTTAAATCATCTGCTACCTTATTCTCTACATGTGAATAGCAAGAATTTAAGAAAAGTTTTATTTTCTGGCAGATATTTATTGAGATAATAAATGATCAAATATTAATAGCAAATAGTACTAAATTTTTAAAATATTCAGTTTATACTTATTAAATTATCCTCTAACACACTAACATTCTTAAAGGCAGCAGAGAAATAGCAACCATTATGGAAATAACCAACAATTATCTGTTATCGAGGCATTTAAAATACCAGAGTACTAGCTATTTACTATGGGATGAAGACATTCATTCTGGAATAAATCTGTGTACCACCCTTTAAACCAATTTGTCATACATAAATCTGGACTATTAACTAGGAATTATAAAAACAAAGGGAACCATACTGTATAGCACAGGGAAATACATACAAGATCTTGTGGTAGCTCACAGCGAAAAAAAAAATGTGACAATGAATATATGTATGTTCATGTATAACTGAAAAATTGTGCTCTACACTGGAATTTGACACAACATTGTAAAATGACTATAACTCAATAAAAAAGTGCTAAAAAAAAAAACCAAAGGGAACCTAGGTACTTATCTAAATTTAAAAATGAGAAAAGATGGAATAAATTATGTAACTTTTCCAGAGACAGAGAAATTAGTGGTGGAGTGAGAATTAGAACCTCAGTCCATTGGCTTTGGGTTTACCAGGTTTCCTACTAGGATTGAGATAAAATGTGGACAATTATTTCCATGTACAATAGACCTCACCATAAAACTTCTTTAAATACTTAAAAACAGTTTGGCTAACAGTTACACTATTTACATACAACCTTAAAGAAACATTTAGTTCATAAGCTTTAGTATACCCTGACTATTTTTATTTTTTAGAAATAAGTTTTTTAAAGAAGAAACTTTTCCATCACGATCATTTGTATCAGACTAAGAATAGGAGCCAATCCAAAATTCCCAGAAGAAATAAAATAGGGTCACCCTATCAATGAACTGAGACATTTAAACATCATATTAATTAGTATTAAATTATATGTAATATATTCCCTGTTTATTGCCACAAAATGAAAAAAACAGAGATAGTGAATATTCCTACTTTCATTTCACGGAACTTATGAGAAAAGTGAATTCAACAGCTTTAAGAGGTATGAATGACATAATCCATGAACACCTTAATTTTGGAGACATTTACAATAGTTATTTCTAAAAAAATTAATAATTAGAATGTAATTTTGATCATGACAGAAGTGAGTTTAAAATGACACACAAGCTTTTCGGTCACTTTAAGGTTAAAAAAGAAAAGAAAGACCCAATTTGTCTGCTAGGACTGTCCTAATTCTCTGTTCTTGAAATCTACTTTTTTCTACTGGATTTGTACATGGCCATTCAACATTAATATGATATTAAAAAGCTTCCATTCGTAAGCACAGTGAATGATGGAAGATAACAGAAAAACAGAGACATCTTAGACTATTAATATGCACTTGTAGACATGCTCTTGGAGGTTTTTATTTTTGATCATTATTGAATGTGGCATTGATCACTGCTAACTGTATTGTTATTTTCATTGTCTTTTCCTATTATCTAACCTTAAACCAGAGAACCCTATATTAACCTAGTTACTTGTTTAAATAAAACATGAACCCTTGAAAATGATTTTAGATATTAAGTCAGAAATTGGTCCATTTCACCCCCCTAGGAAAAAATGAAAAACAGGTATGGAAACTTTAAAATATTTTCACAAGTTCTTTGACACTATTCTTTTCAAAAGATGGCACCTAATTTCACTCCTCTGAATGTGGACCAGACCTAGCGATCTGCTTCCAATGAATAAAAAGTGGTAGAAGTGATGCTATGTGACCTTTCAGTTTAGGTAATAAAAATAGCTTTCACCTGTGCCTCAGGTGGTTGTCTTTCTGTCTCTCTGATCATTTGATCAAAGGGAAGCCAGTCACCAAGTTGTGAGAATATTCTTAAGCAGCCTGCTGAGAAGTCCACGTGGAAATCTCCCACCATTGACCAGCACCAATTTGCCAGCCATGTGACTGGGTCACCTTGCAAGTAGATCTTCCAGCTCCAGTCAAACCTTCAGGGGAGTATAGCTCCAGCTGAAATCTTGACTGTACTCTTATGAGGGACTTCCACAATAGAAGCTCCCAGCTAAGTTGTTCTTGAAGTCCTGGCCTATAGAAACTATGAGGATAATAAACGTTTATTGGTTGTAGTAATAGGTCAATTCATTACACAGCAACGCAGCTGACTCTTGAACAATGCAAGGGTTAGGGATGCTGACCCTCTGTGCAGTCAAAACTCTGTGTACAAATGTACAGTCAGCACTCCATATCCACAGTTCTGCATGTGTGAAGTCAACCAACTGTAGATAGTGTAGTACTGAATGTACGACGTATTTAGTGAAAAAAATTCACGTACAAGTGGACCCACACAGTTCAATCCTAAGTTGTTCAAGGGTCAACCGCATATAATCAATACAATTAGTAAGAAAAAGATACCATCATAAAATTTCACAACTGTAATATCTACTGACTGCTATTTCTAATAATTTCTAGTAAGAATCAAGAATGTCCCATAATGATGTAAAATAAAGTTGGCGAATTTAATTTTTTTTCCATAAAAGTTGAATGGTATGATAAAACAAATACCAGAGAAAATCTCACCTTACAAGTGACAGCTCCAACAACTTGCCAGGTGTCTGCTATATCCTGTTTATCGTATTGCATGGATTTTACCTTTTCAGTGATAGAAATGGAAACTTGTGGTTTTCCTTTGTATATTCCAGCTTTCCAGGCTGGCTGTTTTTGTGGATGAGTAACAGAAGCAAAATTATTACTGTCCAATGAATTCTGTAAGTTGGCATCTAACAAAGTACCAAATGGACAAGCTTGTAGAAGCAAGTCAGGCAACTGGCTCAATTTTGTATATAGCTCAGTGTCATTTTTTTGACCTAAGTAAAGAAAATCCTGTATCCCAAAAAGAAGTTCAAAGCCTTGTGAAATTCCACTAATACTAATTAATGGCGGACGAGGGGATAAAGTTTGTTCAACCAGTGGAACACAAGCATATATCATGCCATTCTTCAGAAAAGCAACAACTGGCCAAAGTTCTTTACCTCCTACCGGGAGCCCATAAATGGACGTTTTATTGATGTGTGAACAGCTATCACGACTCTCCACAAAATCCTTATCATCATCTAATAATCTCAGTTCAAAAAGCAGTGCTTTAAGGAAGGGACCATCTTCAGGAACAGGCACGTAACTTTCTCCATTGAAGACTCTGGCTCTTTTTTCAACAGTTGGATACCGTCTGCATTATAGAAACAAAAACATAATTAATTCTTCCAAGTAAAATAAATCTGGAAGTCCAAAATGAAAAGGCAAACACCCATAACAACAAAACACACAATAACATACACACGCAAGTACACAAAAACCACAACTAAAAAAGTATTACATGTTAAATTCCTACTGTAGTAACTACCTGTTGTGAATTTAATACATCTAAATGATAAAGTATCATTATCTATTATTGAAAAAAAATTCAATTTAGTTAATTTTTAAAATAGGTAGAATGCCTGGTTCTAATTCAAAATCCTGGTCTCTTGGCCACTCAGATTCCCACTCGGTAGGCAAGGAATGTATATCTATGTATGTTTTACACATCTATAAGGACTTTTTTTTCTTTAACTTTTATTTTTCTATTTCCTCCTCCCCTCCTCCTTTTATCACAGGGCATATCTTTCTCCCGACTCAATCCTACCTCCAGGAGTAACCACTGCCCAGAGTTTAGTGTGCATCCTTCTAGAGGTTTCTCAATGCTGTTAAAGCATAAATATAAACATGCAAAATGAATCACAAACATACCGTCATTTTTTAAAAACAGAATGATACATTTTGTAGTGAAACTTAACTTTTTTCATTTTCTAAGTCAGTATATATAAAGCTACAGCTGCACAGCATTCCACAGAGTTAATGACCTACAATCTATCTGTACTCTTACTGGTAGACACACTGCTTCTTTTGTTGTTGTTACAGATAAGCATGCAAAGATCTTTTTCTCTTCTTTTCTTCTCTTTCCTTCCCTTCCTTCCCTGCCTCTCTCCCTTTCTAATTGAGGTATAACTGACATATAACATTCTATTAGTTTCAGGTGTACAGCATAATATTTGATGTACTTATATACATTGCAATACAATCACCACAATAAATTCAGTTTTTTAAAAAAATCTTTTTTGGGGGAGCTAATTAGGTTTATTTATTTATTTATTAGGGAGGTACTGGGGATTGAACCCAGGAGCTCGTGCATGCTAAGCAGGCACTCTACCACTGAGCTACACCCTCCCCCCAATAAGTCAGTTAACATCTGTTATCTTACACAGTTAAAAAATTTTTTTCTTGTGATAAAAACTTTTAAGATTTACTCTCTTAGCAACTTGTAAATATGCGATACAGTATAATTCAACTAGTCACCATGCTGAACATTACATCCCCACAACTTCGTTCATAACTGAAAGTGTGCACCTTTTGACTCCCTTCATAAACTTCTTTCCCTCTCTCTATGGGATTTTTAAACTCTGATTCCATCTTAGTTTAGTTTAGGTTTTTTTTTTTAGTTGGGTTGGAGGTAATTAGGTTTTATTTTTTTCTGATGGAGGTACTAGGGATTGAACCCAGGACCTCTTGCAAGCCAAGCATGAACTCTACCACTTGAGCTATACTCTCCCTGCCTCTGATTCCATCTTAATTGAGCAGGATCGAAAAAAGTGGTTCAATTTAATCCTCCATATTTTGGATTCACTAGTACCCTGAGTACACTTGGTATCCCGTTTTCTTGTCAACCCCTGCAAAAATATGTAAGAACATCTTAGTAATAGTGGTTTATCTTTATGGCCTTGAAAGATACTATAAGGTAATAAAAAGAACAAAATATGAATAATCTTTTATGATTTGCATGCTCTAGGCTGAACAGTAAGTTACTAATTCATCCTTTTTTTAGGGAAACAAAAGAAAGACGCTTTTGCTCATGTACAAAAATGTCAGATCACATTTTCTCTAATTAAAAAAAAAAAGTACTTTCCCTATTCCTCATCTCTCTACTCCAAAGTCTACAACAAAGTCATCTATTGGCTATTAGCTTCTGTATAAGTCACCTAACTTCCCCAAGCATATTTCTTATTTGTAAAAGTGTGGCTAAAGAACATATAAGCAGTTCTCATCAAGGATCAAGAACACATCCAGCCAAGATGTTTTCCTATTAATTCACTAATGCTACTAATAAAATATTGATGTTTACTAATAATTTTAAAAAGAAAAATTAGAATACATTCAAAGTTACCCATGTATTAGTGAACCTTATTCATTCAAGTTCTCATACATTTTCTTGATAGAGAAAAGGAAAGAATTAGCTAGCCCTCCAGTAACGGCCTAGCAGGTGAATGCCACTTCTTTCTCTGTCACTGGATAAGGACAGTTGAGAACTCTGGGCTAAACTCTAGTCCAGCGTTATCCTCTAGAAGATAATTAAAGTTCTCTTAAGTGTAAGAACTTCATGACTGAAAGTAAAGATAGGAAGCTAATCTGGGACCTTAGACAAAGCCTCAATATATGCTCAATAAATACTTTGTTGGATGACTCAATCTGTCATTTCAGATTTATTGTAGGCCTTGTCTGAAAAGGACTTGAACTTTAAACGGCCTCACAGCTATGGGGAGATAGTGTTACTACAATCTCCATTTAACAGATGAAACAGCGGATAGGTAACTTGCCCAGGTGTCGGACCAAGGGATACATAGCGTCACAAAACTGCTACACCATCCATACGTCCAATCCATCATGCATGGGGATTCAGATCTGCACTTACCTGGAGAATCTGACTGTGCCACAAAGTGGAGTTCCCGGTTCGTGGCTTATGAGCCACACTGCCCGCTGAGCCATAGTAAAGCCACGAAAGTATCAACACAACTTTTAAGGTAGCCACCGAGGAAGAGCGCAGACCGGCTTTCTTAGACGTATTCTTAACCAGAAGCCCCGAGGCTCACGCAGCCAGAGCCACTTTCTGCCCCACCAGAGAAGCTAGCTCCTTTAGGTGAAGTGACTAAAACCTCTGAGATCCTCCTGGCCAACACACGCCACACAAAATTCTGTGAATTCGCAGTTAAAATTTCCAGAAACTCATTTATCCCCAGCAACCCTGGTACTTTCTTCCTCTCGGGTCCACTTCCGGGACGGTGGCCCGCAAGGATCACGGTTCCTCCCTCGCCCGAGCGGTGAGCCTCTCTGCGGTTCGCCCGCTGCTCGCCCCTTCGCCGGCCCCTCCCGACAGCCACCCGGGCCCGCGCAGCTCCACTTCCGGCGTACGAGGCGGTGACAATGGGAGCGGCGCGGGCGGCGCCGGGAGGCAGCTGACAGGCGTCTGCGGCTTCGCTTCATGGCCGCTCTCCCGCCCCGCCTGGGCTCTGTGGGAGAGCGGGGCAGCCCGCAGCGGCCGGGAGCCGGAGCTGGCGAGCCGAGCAGGGAGCTGTGCGTGGCGCCGCTGAGGCGCAGCATGTGAAGACGAGACGGCATCCAGCGCGAGGCGAGCCTCTCAGCCGGCCGGGATGGCCACGACGGCCGAGCTCTTCGAGGTGGGTCCCCGCGGCTCTTCGAGGAGTGGCAGGCCCGGGGTGCTGGCAGCGAGGTGGGCGGGCGGAGAAGCGGGCGTTCGCCGCTGCCCGGGAGCAGCCCTCGGAAGAAAGGTGGGAAGGCGAAGGGGTGGGTGGCGGCTCCGGTGGCGGCGCGGGCGGTGCGTGAAATGGGGGAGGGGTGTATTGGGGGCCGGGGTGGGGAGGTGGGCAGGGAAGCGATCCCAGAGTCCGGACCGGGGAGCGTCGGTTTTGCCCGCACGGCTGGAAGGGAGCCTCGGGGGTTTGGGCGTTGGAAGACGAACTTCGGATGAGGGTGGGAAGGGCTGACTCAGGGCGCGGAAAGAGGAGCCTGACCCAGGTCGGGCGAGCCCCGTCTTGTCGACTGGATCCCCGCGTAATATTCTAAGGTCTCCCCTTGAGACTGGGACGACAGGGGCTTCTCTTCGTGGACTAATGACTCCGTTTGCTCGTGATTAGCAGTGGCATTCAACGTGCCTGCCAGTTTACCCTTGCATTTGAAAAGACTGTAGTATTTTTTTAGGACAATAAAGGCCTACAAAGCCCTTCAGTCTAAAGAGAGGCAAAACTAAAATTAAAATTGGGTTCAGGTCTTGAGGAATTGAAGTGTATTAAAAACCCTCCCTAAAGGCTAGCTAGGGAATCCTTAACGTGTGAGACAGTGACATTCTAATGTGTTTTCTGGAGTGTTTTCATTCTCTGAAACTTGAAATTAAATTTAGGGAAATCCAGTGTAAGAAGCCGTGATGTTTGAGCTAATGAATAGGAAAATTCTAATTGGGCCACCGAACAATGAACCGTGTAGGGGATCTCCTTTTGTGAAAGAAATGAAAACAGACATGGAAAGGGGAAGGAAGGAAGGACCCTTTTCGTGTGTGCTTGTGTTTCGTATTGAGTAACAAAAATATAAGAAATAATCGAGAGAATGCTGTTGATAATAGAGAATTTCTCCAAAAGTAAAAATTGGATCCTTTTTTATGCGTAAGATGCAGCAGGTTTTGTTTTTTGTTTTTTGGCTTAAAATTTGAATGCCACAGTTTTTATAACTGGGAACTTTTCATTTGTTACTGTTAACTATGTTTTGGATTTCTGTCAGCTTTTGGATAGTAATGTGTTTGTTGTGGAATAATATGTGCCATTGTTATAATAAATTGTAATAAAATAGTAATCAGTGAAGGGGTATAATTACAAAAAAGAATTTGGATATAATAATTGCATTTCCTCAGATTCAAGTGTCGGAAGGTATATTACATTAAGTTTTCTAGTTCCAAAATTATGCCATCTGTTTATTGATTGACACAGGAGCGGGAGACATTCTTTTTACTAAAAGCTTTTACTGTGTGTTCCTGAGCAAGAAGCTAAGTTCTATAGTTCCTTGTTTTATTTTTCACATTTTTATAAAGGTAGAAAACTGTTTATGAAGTTGAAATCTGTAATTTACTTAATGGGTTACCAATGACCAGCCAGCTATTAGTAGAAAACTGTTATTTTGTCATACAGTTCATAAGGCATTAACCTTAGAGCTCATGAATCCGGATAGTCCCAGTTCTGTTTTGAACCATATTATATCTTTTTTTCTTTAAATGTTTGCATGAATCTGTGTAACTTCCTTGAAAATATATTTAATTTCTGTCCCCCATCCACATGGGGGAAGAACAGGAGGTAGAGAAGTGTCTATAGTATATTTTGCTTTCTAGGGTCTAGTCATTTGGTAAAGTGGTTAAACCAAATTAAGGTTTAATTTAACTCAGTGACTTCAGTTACATGACAGCTGGTAATATTCACTTAACTTGCTAGTGGTGATAGAGACAGACTACTCCTATGTTCAGCGGGTTTATAGAGCAACCTTGAACGTGCTTATGGATTTTAACTCATGTGACTTTCTCTTTCCTGATCACATGTAGCTTGTTACTTCATCAAAATTAAAAGCATATTACCTTAATAGTTACATTTAAATGTTAATAGTTATGATTAAGAAGTGCAGTTATCTTTTCAGCCGTACAGTGGACTCTACTCTTGAGTAAGTTCTTATCCATAAGAGAAAACTTGGTCTCTTTAGAGGAAGATGGAAAAAAAGAAAACAAAAAACAAACCTCAGTCATTGCTGCCATTTCCTGTTGCTACTGCCATAGTACCCAAGATGTAGGACAAATCAGGGAGTGTCTTTTTCTCTTGCTTCCCTTTCTTATCGGCAGTTGGAGAACTGTGGAAAACAGAGATCAGGATGTAGTCGAGGATTATTTAGTTTTTATGCATCCTGGTTTGAATGCACTAATAAATTGAATTGTGCTTTGATTTTTCCACATTGAGAAAGAGGTTAGATCAATACAAAATTTTGCTTTGAATCCATGAAATTTCATAAGTGTTGACCCTACTTTTTAAAAAATCTTATTATTGGTCCTATGAAACTTCCTTTTCAACGTAAACACTTTCATACAACAAAATCAAGCTACAAGATATTTCCTCAGCTGACAGAAATGCTGTAAAGATTCTACCTGCAGTGTTTCTAAATGATCACCCGAAGAGGGACATTCTAAACAGGAATTCCTGTGTGGTTTGGAATATGTCCTCTACATATAAAAAGTGGCTGGAATAGTAAATTCTTTTTCTGTTGTCATAAATATTTATTTTCATTGTGCTGCTGTGAGAACATTGCACTCCTTTCTTGCTATTTTTCTCTCCTGTCATTCTCCTGGAGTCTTCCCTTCCATTTGGACAGGCTACCTTTATGGGAGAGTTCTTTGTTAAGTAGGGTCAATTACCCATTTATTCAACAAATATTTGTTGAATACCTCCTGAGTTACTGAGGCTGCATGTCTCAAAGGGTGTGCTATAGAAGTATCAGTCCTGTGAGATGTGCTGCTAAAAACCCATATGGTTCAGAGACCAAATAAGTTTTGGGTGTGGCATGCTTTGTATCATTAGAGATTTATAGTATGCCTAGGTATGTTAAAAGATTCTAAGATGTTTATTTCCCATACTTTTTTGACCATGAGACTATTTTATTTTTTACTATTTGTTAATGTTGTGAATTCCATGGAACATACTTTGGAAAATGCTGAATTAGCTATAGAACCTGCCCTTATTGTTAAGTAGGGGGAGGGAAAATAGATACATAACTACATACTCCTGAAGTAAACTTGTAAATGGAGTCCAGAAGGTCTAGATAATGTGCTATAAGAGTTGAGAGGATGGAAAGATTACCTTTAGAAGTGGGAAAGGATTAGGAGGTGCCATTTGGATGATATATAAAGGATAAATTAGAGTTTGTGGAACTGGGTGAAGAGACATTCCGATTAAGCAGACAAAAAATTCGAGATATAAAGAGAGGTAAGTGTAGACCCCAGAGACAAGGGAAGAGTTCATTTTAGCTGGAGTATAGCATGCATGAAGAAGAGGAGTGGCATGTAAGGTAATTGGGATTTAATTGTGGTGGTCCTAAATGCCAGGATTAGGAATTTGATTTTTTTTTCTTGTAAATGTAGGTGCCTTGATAATAATATTTGATGTCAGGTAATTTGATGTGTGTCAGTAGCTATTTGACTTCTAGATTAGAATTTGAATAGCCACAAACATATTTTTGCTTAAAAACACATTATGTCTCTTAGACTTACAATCTAAGTTACCAGTTACAAACGCTGTTTAAGCAGACATTGAAAAAGACTTATTCTCTTGTTCAGTTAACTACTTAAACATACACTAATGAACATGAGATATACAAGTAAGGACCACTCCTTTACCTTCAGAGTGCTGAAATGCTACTTATTTTAGCCGTATTAGCTATAAAGTGTTTGTGGAACCTGGCCACTAATTACAGTATCATGTATATGAGAAAATGTACTCATTTCAGCAAACATGTACCTAACCTTTCCTACCCTAGGCCAAAAATCTTTCCAGGTACTGGAGTTAAAAGTTCTTCTCAGTTAAAAATCTAGTTGGGAGAGTGAAAGAAAATAAAGAACTATTCCTTCTCTCAACACTCTACTGCTACTCTCAGTATTACTCCACTTCTGACACCAAATGTGTGGGGATTTCTTGCACAAGTGAAGTCAGTTTTCCAACTGATTGACTGTCCCGCAGTTCACTTTATTTATTTATTTGGGAACGGGATTAGTTTTTTTATTTATTTAGTTAGTTATTTTCATGGAGGTGCTGATCATTGAACCCAGGACCTGTGCATGCTCTCCACCATTGAGCTGTACTCTCACCCCGCTCTATAATTCACTTTAATTCCGATACTGTCTGCTTGGAGGTAGCATCAGATCCCACAGGTTAAAGGCTCTGTCCCACAAGAATGCCCCGACTTCAGATACCAGTTGCAGTCCAGGTTGTCACCTGTGCTTCTGACTGACTAGCCATATATTGGAGATTCTCATGACCCACTCTTCGGGTTCAGTAATTTGCTAGATGGCTCACAGAACTCAGGAAAATAGTTTACTAATTGAATTACTGGTTTATCATAAAAAGATACAACTCAGGAACAGTGAGATGGATGCATAAGGCAAGGTATGGGGAAGAAGTGCAACATTCCATGCACTGCTTGGGAGTGCCACCCTTCCAGCACCTTGATATGTTCAGCAACCTGAAAGTTCTCTGAGCCACACACTTTAGGGATAATCAGTTATTAACTCAATCTCTAGCCCTTTTCCCCTTCCTGGAGGATAGGGGGTGAGGCTGAAAGTTCCAAGCTTCTGATCATGCTTGGTCTTCTGGTGACCAGCCCCCATCCAGGAGCCCACCAGGAGTTGCTTCAGTAGAACAAAAGGCACTCCTATCACCCAGGAAATTCCAAGGGATTTAAGAGTTCCTGTAGGCAGCTATCAATCTTATCACTGAGGAAATTACAAGAGTTTTAGGAGCTCTGTGTCGGGAACCAGGGTCAAAGACCAAACACTAGAACAGGGATGCTCCTAGAACCTTTAGACGTAGTCCTTTAGTTGTCTTGTGTATCCTTTATCTTTCTACATTTCTGTGGGTAGAAT